ATTAGGGCAACAGGCAGCTGCTCAGTCACATTCTTAACCAGAGACAGGACTTATGTCTTCAAGGAATTGAGGAAAATTACATGAATACTTATTTTTGAGCAATAGAGATATGTTTTTCCATACTAACCAAGGTAACAGCAGTTGCACTGTTAGGCAGGACTACAATACACAGGACTGCTCAGCTGAAGCTGTGCCATCCAATTTTTCTTATCAGGAGGGGGAGAAGAGCAGCACCAGGACAGAGCTGAGTTCACATTCTCACCTTTAACCTGATCTGCTCTGGCATCCTCTCAGCCTGGTAAGTTAACACAACAGGATCGCAGTACCGACGGCCCTCCTGCCTGGCATGTTTTCTGAGCTCAAATTCCTGGGAAAAACACAAACAGCACTGAGCATCAGACGCTGAGTCTGGATGTAAATGAGAACACTTGACACTTCTAAAAGACAGCAAGTCCCATACTTACAGTTGCGAGCCTCTTGTCCATCTCAGGGCCTGCCTTTTCCACAGCTGTCTTCTGGATAAAGCAGCAGGCAAGCTCACAGTTATCCTGGGCTAACTGGGCAGCTGCCTGCTCCATCATGTCCCTCTGCTGTGGGGAGGCTGCCTATTGAAAATCACAATCATCAGTGAAGGCTGGAGGTTTTTCCCCTGTATATTATTACCCTTTCCATCTGGACCGCTGCCTATACAGAACACCAGCAACAAAGAGGAATGCTCTTAGGCATTGCCTTCCCACAGAAAATACAACAATAAATTTAATTTTGCATAGCTTTGAATAAAACATGGAGGCAAGATGACAGGAAAGACTTTCAACAAGGAACACAACAGCAGGAGTTCTGCATCTTCTCCACCTCCCCATCTCCAGGGCACAGAAATAAAGCCCTGCTTTAGAGGGGCATGGGCACAGCGATGCTCATGCAGGGAAAGGCTCACAGCACAGCACAGGTTTTACCCCTCCCCAGGTCATAATCAGAAGATATAAAGGCACAGCACTAACAATGCAATCCTAAGCCTTTTTCAGTGGGTTCCCTTTCTCATACAGATTTTCTTCCTTCCTTCTCAGAGTCTGCTTTTAAGAGAACCCTGAACAGAGGGACTTATTTTTTAGGGTGCAAAGCAGCAACTGTCACTAGAAATGGAATACATCTATAAAGGCAACCTGTCCCATCTAGCTGGACTTCCCTGTTTTTAAAGAATCCTTTCAGTTCTCTTTTAATAAATTAACCCACTTCATACAACGAGCCAGGCACGAATTTTAAGGTGTCTTGTACAGCACTTCTGCAACACAGTGCTTTCTATAATTACCCCTTAAGAAAACTTCCTCGGATCACCACTAGTTTTATGTCCATGTCATATGTCTTCAGGGACAAAAAAAACCTGACTGCTAAGCTACACTTGGACATTTTGCAAACACAGAAATACTGTCCACAAAACCTGAATTCATTCTGCTCATGCACATCCTACTGTGATTAAACTCGAGAGAATACTGGGGCAAAATATAAAGTCCAGGAGTTTGTGTGCAACGCAGCAAGATCCACCTCAGCAGTTTAAGTGTGATCGACGCGAGCTGTAACCTCCACGTGCTTTTTTCACTGTAACCCCACAACCGTTACGAGGCTTTTATGCAGCGAATTTCATCTCCGCGCTGGTTAAGCCACGTATAATTAACTAGCAAGCCCTTACCCTCAGCGCGGTGGCGAAGCTGTTCTTCAGGTTGGTGGCGATGCTCATGAGCAGCGGCTCCCTGCAGGTGATCATGGCCATCCCCGCCGTCAGGTTGCGCATCATGTGGTGGGCGGCCACGCGCATCCGCGACTCCTCCGAGTCCAGCGCGAAGTCCTTCCTGACGATCTGCTCGCAGGTGGTCATGGCGATCTTGATGGAGCGATCCACCACGGGGTGCACCAGGTCCTGCACGGCCCGCTCGATGGCCTGACGCACGCACTGCTTCAGCTGCGGGTGCGCCTGGAACAGCGGGATCTGCGCGGAGCAGCAAAGCTCAGCCAGTGAAATGTCCCCGATCCCACCCGCCCCCAGACGTTCCCGCTTCCTGAACAACTCGTCAGCGCGCTGTCCTAGCAGGTGCAGTGCTGCCTTGTTACTGATATTACAGTATTTGATGAATCTCAAACTGGGAGAAACGGTCGTTTTCCTCACCAAGTTGCAGCTGAGCACAGTGCAGAGGCTGACTGAAGAGTTAAGCCACTGATTGCTCAAAAGGAGCACAGCAGCAACTATCCCAACTGACACACTGCCAGAAATGAGACGGATACTAATGTCGCAGTGAAAGACCACTTGACCATCTCAGGCTGCTAATGCAACTAATCACCTCTAAACCTCTCCATTTGATTACTCATTAGCCCTCAACCTCCCCATTACTTTTGAAAAGTGACTCTGCAATAACTTCAATTTACAAAATGCTGCTCCCACCAGCTGAGAGCTGAGGCAAAGCTGGTGGTGAGAATTCTTTTATCAAACCAGATCAGCTCTAAAACTTACCGTGGGATTTAAGGTGATATGTGGAGCCAAGCCCCCTAAAGAATACACGTTGATGTCGTGGTAACTGTACTGGGGCTGGGGAGGGACCGTGGCTGTGCAGGTGGTGCTGGTAGCTGGAGTTGTAGAAGCAGCTGGAGAACACAAATAGGTTTGTATTGAGCCATTAGTGAAAAGTAAATGCTTATAATGCAACTAACACATACTTAAACCAGAAAATGACCAAAAACCCAAAGGTTTTGCAATTTCATCATGAAACCTCCGAAACCCAAAGTTTCATTCTCCATTTTCCCAATGATTAGTTCCAAAGTAGCTTCAGCCCTTTCTAACAGAGCTGTCTGTTACAACAGTTTAGCTCCTGACATGGTGTTAACAGATCGTGCTGCCTCACTCCCACATGCAGAATTAGTCCTCAGGATGGCTTCCATCCCTTCCCATCTCCAAACTCTGCACACCTACTTCTATTACAAAACTATCCAAGTGCTCCCAAGCATTCAGGAATGTTACAATACCATATGTAGCTTTATATATTTTTTTTTTTTTTATAACAGCAAACCCTGTCTTATTTGAACTTCCACGGTGTGGTTATGGATTTCATGAGATGTACTCACTAGTTGTTGTGATGGGTGGTAGCTCTTCTGGCTGCTTCACATCCTTCTTCGGAGCAGACAGCTGCTCATCCAGGTTTTTCAGGCGATCCTTATCTTTCAGGAGGCTCCCAGGTTTCAGCTCATTGATGTCCAGTGCAAGATTCTTGCAGAGCACCTCGATCTCAAACTTCAGATTCAACTGCAAAACAGGACGTGCCGCGAGGAGGACGCACAAAACACCTACCAGGCCACTCAGCTCCCAAGCTGCCCGTTCTAACCCACACCTTTCAGAGACCAGCAGTGATCAGACAAACAGCTTGCACTCTGATCTCACGGGAAAGGAGCTGCACCCAAGTCCCACCCAATAAAGCCATGCCCCAGCAATCTCCCCGTGCCAAAGCAGCGAGAAGCGCTGCCTGGTCCTTCCCAACATCCCTCCTGACTGGTATGGCAAGAAAACCTCACTCAGCAGGGACAGAAAAGCAAAACAGAAGTTTACTTTTAGATCGTGTTCTTGGTGTAGCTCAGCTAAAACATTCATAATGGCCATTGTCCATGGGTTTGGAGGCCTGAAGACCTACAAGAGAAAGAGGAGAACAGGATTACATAAAACTCCTTCAATCACCTGGATGGATTATGACTGGAAGTTTTGGAACATAAGATACAGCCATGGAAACCTCTGTACAGTTGCAATTAGGGGGGAATTTAGTATTCTGGTAATAATTAGTCCAGTAATTGAAGTTCAACTGGAAGTACATTAGGAAGCTAAGTGTGAAACTGGAAATAAGTGTTTTTTTTGTGACAAAAGCTAATTACTTCCTGCAATATTTTGCCCCTTGAGCAGTAACTCTGTCAGCACAAAGACACTTACCACACTCCTGACACTGGATTCTAAGACTTTGGCAACAAATGGCACTACATAAAGCAATTCCTGCTGTCCCTTCACATATGCTTCCAGTAGGAGTGATTTCACATCCAAATCCTGAAAAATACCATCAACAATTCAATTGGGAAGGAGGGTGGAGAAAACAGTAAACACATGCAAAGCTCCACTCACAAACTACTTTCCTTTTCAGATACAGGCAAGGCTGAGTCAAGACTGTTAAAAAGCAATTACTTTTTGAACAAAGATTTACGTATCTACATTTTTACATGGGATGAACAAGTTCTCTCCAAAACAAACACAGCCACTAACTTTACTGATATAAAAAAAAATAAATATTTACAAGTCTTAAATGACCAACTCTGGAATCATACTCTGGACTTGGCACAAAAAGGAGGCACCAGAAAGGTGATAACATTTCCCAAATAGCTTATGCTACTGCACAACAGCTTATCAATGCATGCCAAAGCAATCTGCAGTGACAGGAGCTCACCGTGTGCAGGATGGGTTTGTTTTTAGCCATGGTGATCATGCCCAGCCAGTGGCCAAGGTTCTTTAACAAGGAGCGGTCTGAGAAGTTGGCTGCAGCTTTGTCTGATGTCAGTAGCACCTAATGAAAACAAAAATAAAAGCAGCTGGAGCAATAACCAGGAGATTATCAGCCCCTGAACCAAAGCCAAGAGCTGATCTGGCTGAAGGCAAAGTTTTAGGACATCAGGTCCTGAGCTTCAGTCTCACTGCAGAGACACTGGAGCAGCCTTTGCTGCAGGACAGGAACCTTTAAATCTGCTCTGTAATGACTGCAAAGTTCATTTCTTTAAAAGGATCAAAAAAAGAGCATTACCCCCTCCCAGCCCTTACCATTTATTTACTTTGTTGAGACTGTTGTAACTGTTTATTTAGCAGATGTCTAACTTGGTTGTGCAGGCAATGCTTCCTCTTAAAGCCTCATCACAGACATGAAGGCCACAGCCTGCACTTCCAGGGAAACCATTTAATCCTCCTGTCCCAAATGTTCTGCTGTTGGTAGTTCTGTTCCTCAGCTTCAGAGGAGCATCAGCTGAACAGAGCAAGGTCAGCTGAGCTCTCAAGAGCCAGGAGATGCTTTTGCACTACAGCGTAACCCACTGGTGGTCAGCAAGTTCCACCAACAGGTTTAAAAATAGTGCTTGGTTCAAGAGCTTGATTCATCTGTTCATCGCTTCTGGGCTTCTGCTTCTTCTGCCTCCTCCTCCCCTTCACATTATCTTAGCCCTCTAGTAAATTTTGGTTGTTACACCCCCATTTTCCACACATTTCCCTTCCCCTTTATTCCTCTTTGACCAAAACAGCAGAGTGTGGTTTTCTTATCTTTATACTTTCCCCACCCAAAACAACCACATCACAAGCAGTTTCCCCCTAGGTTATAATTTACAAACCTCACACTAATTTAGAGTCCACCTACAGAAATAAATCCAAATGCAGATTTTTCTCTCCTGTTATATAATTTAAGTCTTCTGTATGCTCCTTACTGAAAAGAATCCTGATGTTCATAAAGATAACTTGTAAGTTTAGCAGTAAATTAGGAAGTAGATTCCTGACTGATATTCCATAGTTGAGGATCAGTAACATAATAAGCAAACACAATGAGGAGAAGAGAATGCTCCCTAATCTTTAACTTTACCCAAGTATTAGAAAACTTGCACTTCTCACCTTGATATTTCTGTAGGTTTCATTCAGAACCATTTTATTGAACTCTGGGTTTTTCAGTGTGTCGAGGAAGTTTGAGTACAAGCTGTGGAAGTTGGGCTCAATACTGACTCTCTTCATCACGAGATACTGGGATACCCAAGGCATGAACTCTTCTTTCACTGTTTCCTTCAGCTCTTCCACCTGTGGCCAAACCAAAGAGAAAGCACAGAATAGATGAGAAAATAACCCAAAAACCTTCTGGGGCCAGCTCTGACCAACACACAGTTATGGGCAGTCAACTGATTCTAACACTGATTCGTTTTTCTTAAAAAAATATCTGAAATCAGTGACTCAGTATCCAAAGATCTGGTCAACCAGGAGAGATGTAATCATGAAATCAGCAAGGTATAATTTATTTCTCCTTCACTTCTCAGCTTCCAGCCAGACAACTGGAAAGAAAAGTTGTCATCTTACAAGTTCAAGCCATCCATCCACCAGACGGTAAACTGCACGAGTGGCACAGGTGGCAGCAGGACTGCACTTTTCTACTAGTTAAAAAAAAAATGTCTTTAATTTCTGTTTGAAATAGAAGAGTCCTTCAGCTTAAACTTGCAATGTTAAGTGGTACCCAATCCATTTACATGATGTGAAATGTTTATTCAAGATTAAGAACAGGTATGTTTTGCCCATCTCTCCTCTCCCCGGAAAATTTTATCTCCAAAGAGGTTCAAGCAGAAGGTGCTGGAAACTATAATTTCTTTACAGTGTGCAAGTTTTTAAGTTGTAATTTCGTAGAAATATCATCAGCAAACACTCAAAAATATATAAAAACTATAGATAAAGAAATTAAAATTATTTTTACTAGCATTCTTCCATACTTGCCTTCTGTGTCATATTTGACTGAGACAGATTATTGAAGATAAAAGCAATTTTTTCCTGGACATTCTCTGGAGGTTCCACAATTCTCTCTGTCTGATCTGTTGCTACCAGCAGCGTATCAATGTTGGTTGTGTTAATGGAAGGCTGGAGGGAGAACAAAAAGTTAAGAACAGACAACACCTAGGGGTGACATCAAAAGCAACTTTTGCTCTGCTCTGTCAAGCCAAAATAGAATTGAGCTTTATCAGGAGACATCGACTGTCTCAGATTCTTTTTGAGCAGCACCCCTAAGGAGCCAAGTGATTTTTTTTTTTTACCCTAAACCTCATGATGAATACTCAGCAGGAGAATTCTGCTGCAGGAAAAGCCTCTCCATTCCCATGGAACAGGTGCCACTGCCATGGCACCCGTCAGGGTAACCCTGTAAGAGCTCAGAGAGTTGTTTATGCAAGTGACTCAAGATGTGAAAACCCTACTGCAGTCAGAACTGCCAGGTCAGGTGTGGGCAGGAGGTGTTCCCAAGTCCCAGGCACAACAGCAGCTGCCAACTACTTTAAGAGTCCTACTGGAGGTCATTAAGAGGGACAGTGGTTCTGTAATTGTCTTAAAGCCTCAATAAAAACATCTCAACTCGACACCAAAATAACTGCGTAGTTTAATGACTAGAAATGCCTTCTCTCTACAAAAATGTTTGTCATATTTTAGAAGTCTATATGCTTTAAATACAAAATAAGAGATCACAGTTTGAACTCTGCACAGAGCAGCAACTCAACCCCTCAGGGAAGGGCCCACAACGCTCACCGGCACGTCCTTCTTGAAGCTGACTCCGGTGGGGCGGGTGATCGTGATGGTTTTTGCCACGGTGGTGGTGGTTGAGGTGGTCACAATAGTGCTGACTTGGCCAGCAAGAGGAGCTTTTGCTGGAACCTGGGCCTGGGCCTGAGCCTGGGCAAGTGCAATACTTCCAGGGGTGGTGATTGATCCCTGCATCTTCACAGGAGGATCTCTGGATTGCTGTCCATATTCTATGTACTAGAACAGGGTGAACAAGCACAGAGCAAAGGTCACACACACAGCGACAGAACTGCAGGCTGAGTTTGAGCAGAAGCACTGGGAAGGTTTGCCAACAGTCATTAAAATATTCAACACTTACTGCCACGAGGGAATCTGCAAACTACACCTGTATAACCTAACAAAGCACAGCCTGTCACTACTGACTTTCTCAAACTATCTCTGGCCTCACCAGGTTTTAGAGGAAAACTAAATCTTTAAGGGACTGGACTACGAATCCACTGAGGCACTTGAAATTCCGTGTGCACTGATCACTCAGTTTAAATTCAGGTAGCTATTTCAACAGAAGCAACCCAAAGGTACCAGATAACCCCCTTCACTGCCTACCCTATCCCACAGAAAAACCCTGAAGGAAAGGCAGTTGATTCTGGGGATGTACAGAGTCTAAAATCATGGCAGCACATGGGACTGCTTCTCCAAAAGAACACAGAAATGTGCTCAGAGGAATTTAAAATCATAGAGAGCTGGTGCTGTTAATAGGAACACACTCACCTCCTGCAAATGATGTGGGAACTGTATAAAGTGACTAATAGAAGCCAAGTGCTGACAATACTGGGGATAGTCCTTCAATCTGTCAGACAAAACACACATTAGTCAGAAGTGTAACCCCAGAAACAGCATTACAGAGGAATACAAACATCAGACTGGTATATGTCAGTCAATTCTGCATCACATAATTACTTCTGGACTCCTTACAGCAGCTGTGCTATAAGTAAAGTATTTTCTACAAAGTACCTTTTTGTCACAGAACCCACTTGAAATTAATCCATTTAAGAGTAAAACACAAGGTTTATTCACAGCAACTCATCTTATCCTACATCTCTGTACATCTGACTGAGCACACCATTTATATTTAGTGTTTGCAACAGGATGATTGGGTAAGTAATCTGCAGTTTGGCTCAGTGCATTTTAAACAGCACCCCTCACACCCAGAACTTCCTCTATCTGCAATTCATGAAAAGCTTTGAGAAAGTTTTTTTTTTTTTTTTTTGAGATTATTTTGCCACACTCGAGATTTCTGTGTAAAACCCAAGCCCTGGAGCTTGGAGTTCCTAATCAGTCCTTCCAGAGATGAACAGCACAAATAGCACTCCCCTGGAATGCACTTGTGAAGAGCAATTACATTCACTCCATTTCTATCAGGCAGCTTCATCTATCCCACCACTAATTATTTGTACAAACAAAGTCCACTCGTTTTCAGCACATCTCCATTTTGAAAAGCCGCCCTTTTAACCAGCACATCGACACTTTTTGCTCCAGCAATCCCGAGGCTGAGAAGCGTTAATTCCTAACACCATTCACCCCCAACTCACCTATTTTTAAACCTATCTAGTGCAGCAATACCAAAATAGTACATTTTGGAGGCGAAAGGCTTTCGTAAGGCTTCGAGAACGTAGCGCAGGGCCAGGCCCAGGGCCATGTAAGTGACCAGTCCCTTCTCGATGATGCCCCCAAAGAGGCAGGCCGTGATGTGCAGCTCCTTGTCTGGGTACTGCGGGAAGAAGCGGTACTCCTCGAACAGGTTCCTCAGCATGCAGTTAAACACCTCTCGTTCCCGTTTGATGTTGGAGTCCTTGAACCTCTGCAGCATTTCCAAGACCTGCAAAAGACATCGGGAGATACACCACCAAGTAAACATCTCCTTTCAGCCAGCCCAGCAAACACTACATCACTACAACGAGTTTCCATCTTCAGTTTTCTCCATTTTAAAGTAACTGTCTTCACCCAGAACTTTTTTTTTTTGTGACCGTCTACTCTCCATCACTTTCAAATCAGAAAGATTAAAATTAATGTGGCGTCCTCCATAATTTATAAGCACACAAATACATTCGAGTCAATTGGAAGTACTTCAGAGGGCAATAATTACTCTCATAGAGACTAAACCAAAATAATTATCAAAAGCTCAGAAGGTAGGACTTGGGACACTTTTATATATATATGGATGTTGTAGTCATGTTTAGATACTTAAAAAACATATATTCAAGAGAATTTATACAGACTATTTAAAGGCACTCTTTAGCACTTATTTTGAACACAAAGGCTTCCACACCACATCGAATCCTTCCCACTTAGCAGCATTTTAGGAGTGTTAATTAGACATCTGGAGTTTTAAGTCCACAGAAGTCAAAGCTGAATGTAATGATCAGCTGCAAGTTTGCTGCGAAAACAACTTCAACCAACCCAAAAAGCTGCAAGGTTCCACCACAAGCCCCTTTTGATTTTCCACTAAAACATGAAGGAGTAATTGTTATCAACTTCATTGCAAGTCTCTGGACAGCAAGTGGTGCAGAAGGGAACTCACCTCATCCACAGACATGGTGGGATGTGGTGGATGGTTGTAAATCCGCTGGAAGTAGCTGTTTGCCTCATCATCTATTTCTTTGCTAAAGTGCTGATTAGCCTCTGGCCACACCTGAGATAAGTCAGCTGTTAAAAGAAGGAACAGGTATCACGCTCAGGACAACTGCAGGCAGTCAGGATTTCATCTTTTCCACCAGTCTGTACAGAACCTGCTAGTTGTTCTGAAAAGCAGGATATTTAACCTTCCC